ATCATTACTAATGGTAACTGGTGTGCATGTAGCTTAGAATTTTTAATGAAAACAACAGTGAGCTTACTGTGGATGCAGGAAGCTGGCACAGGTTTCAAGTTCCACTCTCCTGTAAGTCCACTAACATTCACTGACCTTAGGTTCCTGAGCTAAGACAGCATGAATCCAGCCCCGTGGAAGCTTTGGTGTACTTGTAAAGACAGGCCACTGACTTGACCATGCAATTAAATAAAATCACCATGGTTGATAGGTCGATGGCCAAGTTCAGTCTTGAAGAAAGATGTGGGGGCATGCAGTACAGGTTGCCCTGGGTAGGGATCAGCTATGATGTTACAAGCTTTTGTGCATCTTGTTTCTCTTCTCTAAACCTGTGTAAAACTGGAGGGTTAGTTCATTTTCGTAGACGAGGGAGGTGAACTTGAAGGCACTGAGTGATATGGTAGAATAGCTCCAGTGTTGGAGACACAGGGCTTGCAAATCAAGATGCACTGTAAGCCAGGAGCTAAATCTAAACCACCTTGACTTCCATCTGACTCAGTATGAGTACAAGCAGACCCTTCTGTAGAGGCTGTAGGTTTTAATACCACATACTACAAAGATACGCGTACGCGTACATATGTGTGTGTCTGTGTGTGTATACATATGCATGTGTATGCAGGTTGCAGACGAACATGCACACCCATATCAGGTGTCTTCTTCTGTTGCTTTCCACTGTATTTTGAAATAGTTTCTCTCACTTAACCCAGAGCTCAACGGTTTGGATAAAGCGTGGCTAGAGAGCTCTGGGGACCCTCCTTCTTTCTCTTCTTGGCGCTTGCATTCCAGATGTGTGTTACCATGCCTGTGTGCATGTATGTGTGTGTGTGTGTGTGTGTGTGTGTGTGTGTGTGTGTGTGTGTGTGCACTAGGGTTCAGACCTGGGCTCTTGTACTTGCCTAGCAGGTACTTTACAGATTAGGCCATCTCCCCATCCCCCAAAATGAGGGTTTTTTTTTTAAATTATTTTTTTTAAGAAGAAAGAACACAGCATTGATATCTCTGTTCACTGGTGATCACCCATCTCAGGCCGGACTGCATTTGTTGCCAGCTCTAAGGAGACCGGAAAGGCTGGGTTTTACGGTTTTAGCTAAGCTGCTTCACCTTCTCCTCTGTCTGCAGCTTCTCATGAGGAGGCTTGGTCCTCACTGAGAAGCTCTGCACGGTGTCTCCTCTGACATTATGTACATACACAGATCTCCGCACCTCCCCTTTCCCAGCAAACTGCACAAACAATGGGCAGACAGACGACACCAATGGGGAAATTAAGCTCTGGGCATAAAGTAGAAAACAAACAGCCAGCGCTGGGTACGAGATAATAGCATAATAGGATAAGTGTGAGAGAGTCAGGAGGCTGTAATGGCCCTGGAGATGCAGAAATTCGGGGAAAGTAGGGCAGTATGAAAGCAGAGGCCATCTGGGGGACCTGGGCAGTTTTGAACAACTCTGATGAACAGAATATGGAGATCTGTTATACAACACAACGCACAGCAATAAAGCAATCATCTGGTCTTACAGCTCTCAGGCACTCTTTGTTTGAAATGACACCATCCCAGCCATGGATGCCAGAGTATCCAAGGTTATAAACAGCCTGGCTATAAATTGCCTCTTATTTCAGATAATTAAAGGTGCAGAAAATAAGATTGTAAAGAATTGATGTTCCCTTCCTTCCTTGGCTACTCAGCACTGTGCAAATTCTTTCTCCATCCCACTCCAGCAGAAATAGAGCATCTATGGAGTGCTGTCTGAGGGGCTGAGGAAGAAAGGAGGCCTCATTGAGAATGTAGGTGTGTCAGGAGTGATGTTTAATATAGTGACCATCATCTCACAAGACCCTCACAGCGTTTTGAGGTTGGGAGCATCATTTTTATGTTAAAGCTACAAAGGGCTGGGGATGGAGCTCAGTGGTAGAGCACTGGCCTAGCACATGTGAGGCCTTCAGTTTGACACCTCGCATTACAAAAAGAAAAAAAGAGGCAGGATAGAGAGAGGGGCTGGGGAGGAAAGAAGGAAGGAAGGGAGGGCAGGGAAGGGAAGAGAGGGAAAGAAAGGCAGTCCAGTGAAGTAAAAATGACTTTCTTACATTCCCAAGAGGCAGAGGCAGGATTCCATTTCATCTTGGGAGACTTGTAGGTGGTCTGTTCTCGATGTCTCCTCCCTTCACCACACTTTCCCCAAAGATGGAAGACTCAGTCAGTGCATAATGTCTCATCTCAGACCCCTTCCTAACTAGCCATCTCCCTTTGGCATAAGATTTTTTCCACTGATTCCGGAAATCTTAGATCATAACTCTTCCTATATAACTCTGGAACTCACCAGCTCAAGCTCTTGTGGAGTTGGGAAGGCGTTTCTCTATTCTAACTTCAATCAAAAAGCGCAGAAGAAAGCCAAGTGGGCTTGAAGTGTGTGCAAAACATTAACATCTCTACAACAGCAGTTCCCAACCTGCGGGCGGCAACCCCTTGGGGGGTCATACCATCCTTTCAGAGGGGCCACCCAAGACCATTGGGAAATATCAATGTTGATATTATGATTCATGACAGTAGCAAAATTATAGTTATGAAGTAGCAACGAAAATAATTGTATGGTCGGGGGTCATCACAACATGAGGAACTGTATTAAAGGGGTGCAGCGTTAGGAAGGTTGAGAACCACTGCTCTAGGATATACTTTTATTTCAGCACAGTTTAATCTTGACCCCTTATACTGTATTACACGATGGCTGCTGAAGTTTACAATGTCAAACCAGAGGTGGGGCCGGAGCACAAGTCATTGAAGGCGACCAAAGCAGAGCGCGGAAGACAGTTGACTTTGACAGTCGCACGTGCATGGCCCTGGATCCATACATACCCAGACAGGAGAGCCTGGAAAACTGGTCGAGCTCTGCCAGTTAAAGGGAGGCAAGCAGCGCCTCAGTTACGGGCTTGCTCTGCATCTCAGCTTCTTTCATAAAACGCATGATTAACTTTCGAACATCAGTAAAACAAGATAAACATTGGCCATCTGTAATTTTTTTTTTCTGTTGTTACCACTGGGGAAACATTTGTGAAATGGGTCAAGAGGATAGTGCGGGCTGGTGCCATTTTACCTGTTTAAAGGAAGAAGAACTCTGCAAGCAGGATCCTTGTGTGGAATTCATGCGTTGGCAAGCACTGTGTGCCTTCTACATCATTTGCGTTCTGTATAGTAAGGAGGGGGAGTCAGTGATTCCTACTACAATCCACCGGTTTATTGCTTTAATTTAACAACCTCCTTTTCTCTAAGTAGGATTAGCCAAGCAAGGTAGACCACATGACTAAGCTCAAATCTCTACCATTTGTATTTCTCTGCCATCTACCCTATTCCTAGAAAGCTCAACGGCCTTTGAAGACATCTGTTCTTATGGATCTAGACGTGCTGAGGCCCATCAGTGATCTCCAGAGAAAGGCTGGAGGACTATAGAAACAAGTCTTGGCGGAGTATGATTGTCTGGCTTTTGTGGTGCAGCAGATTTTCAGTCTTGGAGCTATCATTTATGATCTTAGGATATTGGGAAAATAACTTTCTAAGCCTCAGTTTCCTTTTAAGCAAAGTACATGAGGCTCCTGTCATAAATATATAATAACTATGTTTTAAAATAAATTAGCGTTTTGTTTTTCCTAGTGTTAATTTCACTTTTAGCTACTTTAAAAAAATCTCCTTTGAGGTTAAGCTATAGTTTATCTCCAGTGATTTTGAAGACCTACAGTGTCTTCTGCTTCCCCCTCTTCTTCCTTATCCTTCTTTCTCTTCCTCATCTCTTTCCTCTACCTCTTCTATTTATTCCTATTTTCCTTTGTCTATGTGTGAGATCTGTGTATGTTAGTGTGAACATGGGCATAGACATGCTATGGCACACTGGCAGAGGCCAGAGGACAACCTCAGGTGTAGGTCATATCTTCTTCCTTGGTTGAGACAGGGTCTCTCATGGTTTGCCACCCTGTATACCAGGATAGCTGTCCTTAAAACTTCAGGCAAATCTGTTTCTGCCTCTCATTTCCCCACAGAAGCACCAGGATTACAGACACACACTGCTGGGGATCCGAACTCAGATCTGCACTCTTGCATAGTAAGCCTGACAGTGTTTGTTTTCTTCTTGAATTGGCCTGATGGGCACTGACCTGTTTGGGACTTCTCTTACATGATCTTCCGTGGTACCTGCCGTTGCTGTTCCCGCCTCTCTTCTTCATTTTCTCCTCTCATGGAGAGATATCAGAGTGCTATTATCAAGATGGCCATTGTGAGGGCTTCTATCAGGAACCCTGAGCACAGAGACCATTTTATCTGTCTGCTATGATTGTTTGCTGCTCCAGACACCGCTCTTTAGCATTATTGATTTCCTCTGTCTACTGAGCCAGTCAGATGCCTTTGACCTGGTTTCACCGGAGCTGTCAAAGGGCCGCCTGAGACTGTCTGGCTTTGTGACTGATTCAGTGTCTTTGATGCCTGCAGATGCCTCTTTGTTCTGCCTCGAGATGATTGAGACCGTTGCAGGTGGGGTCCGGAGTCTCCATCCCATGCAGATATTTCTCCGTATATTAACAACATCACTCCGGTCAGCCTTTTTTTAGTCTTTCAAGGCTCCTACCATCTCAGTGATGAAAAACACTCTCACAGAATCTTTTCCAGGAAAGTCGATCAATGCAGTTTCTGAATGAAGCAAAGAGGAGTTAGAGAGGAAATTGTTTAATTTGTGCATATAAACAGAAATGAGAGAATGACCTGAAGGAGAAGAAAGGACACTAGACTGAGAGAAGGGATGTGAAGGATTTCAAGATTTAATTTTCATTTCTCCTTAGAGTTGAAACGTCCCCAGAATTGCCTTATACAGATTATATAAAACAGGGAATCTGAAGGCTTAAAAAAATCCCTTTATTTTACTCATTCGAAGAACAGCTTTGAAAATTAGTCTTAAAATATTCTCATGGCCAAATCCTTCTCCTCCAGATGGCTACATCTCTCATTCCGGATGCCACCAGGCCATTCCAGCCACCTGCCATAGTGTTGTCTCCAGACAAGGGCAGACGACCAGAGACGCTCTGAAGCCCTACGGCTACTTGGAGAGAAGAATAATGTTCCTGGCAAAGGTAGGAGAGTCCTGCTTAGAATATGTAATGCTACACAAAAGAGCAGGACGGCTTGAATGGGGAACAGCAAGGCGTCTGGCCCCGGGAGAAGGGCCCAGGAAAGTCAGAATTGTAATGCAGACCAGAGGTGGGGTTTGAAATGTGCCCTCAAACCCATCTCAGAAGGATTTAACTGCTTACTTTATATATATTATGCCTTCTGCTCATCACTCCATCACATTTTATTTTATTTATTTTTGGTATGCGTTCCCATGAGTGCACATGGAGGGGCTGAAGGTCAAAGTCAATGTCTTTCTCTATTGCTTTCCCCCCCTTAATTTTTTGAAACAGAATCTCTCCCTGGGCCTGGTGCTCGTTGATTGGCTCAAAAACTAACAGTCTAGTCAGCTCCAGGAACTTTTCCTGTCTCTGCCCCCTCACACGGTAGGACAACAGGCACACACTACCATGCCAAGATTTTTATGTGGGTGCTTGGGATCCGAACTCAGGTCTTCATGCTAGCACAGCAAACACTTTACACAGAGAGCCGTCTCTCTAGCCCCCCAGTTTTAATTCTGTGGGCTCAATATCACCCCCTAGTCTGTTTCTCTCCCTATATGACTGTGCATTTCTCTTCTATGGAAGCAAGATTAGTATGATTAGGGCAACACCTCTACAATACTCTCATCTAAAGTCTGAAATGCATTTCTCTTCGGAACCGGCAATGCTATAGAATGCTAGCTAACCAGTGTACTAAATTGCACTTCCTACAAGGGCAAAGACAAATGGTTGACTCTCCCATCACGACCCCAAGTGGTTTTCCCTGTGTGATAACATCGTTTTGTCTTATTGTGGGCACTCCTAGTGCTAAGTAGTCCGGCACATCTCATGTACTGTGTTGTGTTAACTTGTTTCTATGACAACCTCAACATTCTCTCACAACATCAAAATTCAAATGTGTGTCTATGAATTTAAAGGGAACAACTAGAGGATTCAGACACCATTGCCACATCAGTCTGTGTAATCACAATTGCTGTATAGAACTTCATGGGTTGCTGTATTCAGTCCTTTCTGGGAAAGTATAAGGTATTCAAACTCTTCTCTAGGCAAGTGGGTAAGCATCCTGCTTGTGGAATCCTTATCCTTCAAATATCTATATATGCCACTTGGTCAAGTCCATGTATTAGTTAGTATATACTCCAGTGCCAAAAGATCCTGAAGCATCTTAAGATTTTTAAAACAGAACTAATTATAATCATTTGTAATATTCTCTTAGGGCTGTCTCACACATTGCTCTGCTATAGCGTGGCTTTCTTCATCGTACTCATTTGGGGAACCCTAGTTCTTTTCACCACAGGGCTCAACCAAGTCTTTACCACCCATGATCCTAGATACTCATGTAACTAGGAACAGGCAGAAGGGGGCTGTTAGTCAGATTCCAACAAGTGGTAGATAAAAGGAAGAGGTTTAACTGGATGCATGCTTTCCAATGAGCCGGCTCATGTTCAGGGTAAGCTCATTTGCTCTAGGCCTCTGGTGGGGGCACAGGACAGAAGCAATGAGGAACCTGCGGAGAAGGAAAACTATTCCTCTCGTGGCCAGGAAGCAAAAAGAGAGAAAGGGAGAGTTTGGGGTCTTGCTAGTCTTTCAATGTCATGTGCCCCATGACCTAATGACATCCCACTCAGCCTCTATTCTTAAAGGTTCCACTCCTCCCAGTAGCCCCACCTTGAGGACCAAAACCGGTAGCACATGGGTCTTTCCAGGATGCTTACGATCCAAACTGTATCAGACAGTGCAACAGCATGGGTGGACGGCACACTATAAAGGCTTCATAGTGAAATGCTGCCTCTACTCATTTCTGTCGCCAACATTTACGGCCCTGCAGGATCCTCTGAAACCATGAGCCAAAACACAGTTTTTCCCTTTGTCAGTTGATTACCCCAGGTACTCGCTATCCTGTTGACTGATAGACCATTTTGCCACCATGTCTAGAGTAAATGGGGCTGAAAATGTAGTCACTGGCTGAGTAGGAGCTCCCAATTGACAACTCTGTATTAGAAGAGGAGTCTCATGAACATGTTCTTACGGGCTGGCCAAGGAGGTAGAACCCAAAACGGCATGCTCACATCATATGAAGGATTCAGTGTGGGAAGGGGTGTGAAAACTATCTAAATGTGTGTGCCATAGTACATGGCTATGCTGAGAACCATGAGGAGCAATGGCTTCTGTGCTTGGCCAGGTTGTTGGGGGGGGGGGGGGGCGTGCATTACACAACACATTTAAAGGCAGCTGTACACAGACTGATGAAGGAGAATTGTTGCACAATCATTTTAAAGCAACAAACTAGTTGACATGTTTGTAGGCATCTACAGGAGACAGACCAGAGAGGGTTAATCAGAAAATGTAGGTGTCCTCTCTGGTTCCTGAGCAATAAGCCCACGAATTTCCTCTCTCTCTCTCTCTACTTGTTGTGAGTTAGTGACCTTGATGAGATCCATCCCCCCAGAACTTTATTATCAGTTTCTTCTGATCACCTATCAGTTGCTCTCATTGTCAATGTGACCCACCTCCAGTGGACAATTCACTTCAGCCTTACCAGGAATGCTAATGTAGGAGGAGATGCCAGGATGAGAGGAAGCCCTAAACACTGTGAAAGCCTTACTCAAGGGGGCATGGAAAACCACTGAGATCACTTCCCTTACTCCATGGACTGAGAGGGTCTGTGCTCTGACCTGGGTCTTTCTTTGGCTTAAGTTGGTAAAGCTTGAGCACTATCCCTTTCCAGTACTGATGGGTGCTGTATTATTCCTGCCAGACCATGTGAAGATCACTACATTTGCATTAGGAATGACTAATTACTAATTTACTAACAGGTACCAAGAGCTAGGATGTGGCTTTTATTGGTGGGCAGGGTGATGGGTAGATTTATGATAATTTAATGTGTTTATCCAATCAACAAATCAATTGAAATGATATCCACAGAAGTGTTCTGCAAAGCTACAAGGACTTCAACATAAATCACAAAGTATAGCTTGGTTCTCTACATTTATATAAATTAATAAGTTCTTACTCACTAATTGTTATTTGTGCTTATGGTGGTCATCAGTATTGCATTGATAACAATAATTAATAGTGAGAACACCTGAAGAATTTCTCTACAGATGTTTACATGAAACACCTAATTAACCCCTTAGGAGAAACAGAAGTTAGATTGTAAGGGATTTCAGTGAGCATGGGCTGCTACTCAGCCAGAAGGAACAAGACAGACACTGAGCTGGATAAAAGGAAGACATCACCCTCAAACACTTGGAGTTTAGTTTGCAAGGTGGATTCCACAAAAGAGTAATTCACCAAATCATGAGCCTTAAAGCAGAGTAAATGGGCAGAAGAAACAGGTAGTTACTCAGATAATTGGGGCAGACTCCTTAATCTATGAATTATTGTCTATATGTACATATTTTATAATAAAATTGATAGATGTATCTGTCAGTGCTTTTTAAGAAAAAAAATCCATAATTTAATGTGGTTTCCAGATCTTTGTTTTGTTTCTGACTGTGACTTTTCTTCTTCTGTCTAACTGGTAATTCTTTATTTGATACGTAGACTCTTGGTTTCTATAGATTTATCCAGCAATAGTTGAAATGATACCATACTTCCTATATTTTTTATTGGGTCTTGAACTCTAAATGTACGTACTGGGAAGTCCTCATTACTTCTTGTGATGATTTCCATCCTTCCTTCCATCTTTTTTTTTTGTTTTGAAATTGAGCCTCTATTTTCTCAGTCAGATTGGCTGGCCTGGCCCTTACTATGTAGTCTAGGCTGGCCTTGAACTTTCGATAATCTCCCTGTCTCAGCCTCCCAAGTGCCAGGATTACAGGTGTGCACCACCATATCCATATGAAGGCCGTTTCATGCTGTGATTGGTTCAGGGCAATGGAAGCTAATCCTGATTGGAGCACTGGTCTCCTGCCTCTGCTCCTGTTCTTCCTCCCCTGTCTTCTTCTTCTCCACTTAAGCATTTCCAGGTCTAATGCTTGGATTTTTTAATGACCCAGTGGGCTAAAGATGTAGATGAAGCCGGGCAGTGGTGGCGCACGCCTTTAATCCCAGCACTCGGGAGGCAGAGCCAGGCGGATCTCTGTGAGTTCGAGGCCAGCCTGGGCTACCAAGTGAGTTCCAGGACAGGCGCAAAGCTACACAGAGAAACCCTGTCTCGAAAAACCAAAAAAAAAAAAAAAAAAAAAAAAAAAAAAAAAAAAAAAAAAAAAAAAAAAAAAAAAAGATGTAGATGAGTGGCCGAGCACTTGCCAGGAATATGCAGGGCTCTAGGTTCAATTCATTGTACCACAAGGGATAAAAGTGAATTGACCTATTAGAGGCAAATTTCAAGTTCCATGTTGCTAGGTAGACAGTGTTTTACCAAACTTCCCAATTTATGTTTGTTACAGTGATATAATATTTGTTAAACAAGTTGTTCTTTTTTCCTTTTGCTTTTTGTTCTAAAATATGTGTGTGTTTGTGTGTATACGTGTGCGTACACATAGGCATGCATGCATGCATGCGTGCACACACACTTGAACTACAGAAGACAGCTTTTGTGAGTCAGTTCTCTCCTTTTGCCGTGTGGGTTCTGGGGACCAAACTCAGATCTTCAGGCTTGGCAGGGAGAGCCTGTCCCAGCTGAGCCATTTCACCCACCTAAGTTACTATTATTTTTTAACAAGTCATTGTTTTCTCTGTCTTGATTGTTTATTAGAATAGGTGACCTGAAATTTCTTATGCCCGTGGGCCCCCTAGTTACTCACCGTGATTTTTTTTCTTTGAAGAGGACACAAGGTAAGATCCCACTAGCGACAGGTGTTTGTGAAGGGTGAACCAGAATCAGGGTTTCTAACCATCAGGCAGAGTCAGGTCAGTGTCTAAAGAGTCAGAAGAAAATTGGCCAAAGCTTAAGCAATTCCTTCCATGTCATGAACTGGTAGCTTCACCGCCAGGAATGGGATTGTCTAGTGAAG